ATACGAGTCTGGATCGCTGTGGGGTTGTATGGGTCTCTATTGTTCTATACGAGTCTCTGAATCTCTGTGGGGTTGTATGGGTCTCTATTGTTCTATACGAGTCTCTGGATCTATGTGGGGTTGTATGGGTCTCTATTGTTCTATACGAGTCTTTGGATCTCTGTAGGGATGTATGGGTCTCTATTGTTCTATACGAGTCTCTGTATCTCTGTGGGGTTCTATATGAGTCTCTATTGTTCTATACGAGTCTCTGGATCTCTGTGGAGTTGTATGGGTCTCTATTGTTCTATACGAGTCTCTGGATCTCTGTGGAGTTGTATGGGTCTCTATTGTTCTATACGAGTCTCTGGATCTCTGTGGAGTTGTATGGGTCTCTATTGTTCTATACGAGTCTCTGGATCTCTGTGGAGTTGTATGGGTCTCTATTGTTCTATACGAGTCTCTGGATCTCTATGGGGTTGTATGGGTCTCTATTGTTCTATACGAGTCTCTGGATCCCTGTGGGGTTGTATGGGTCTCTATTGTTCTATACGAGTCTCTGGATCTATGTGGGGTTGTATGGGTCTCTATTGTTCTATACGAGTCTCTGAATCTCTGTGGAGTTGTATGGGTCTCTATTGTTCTATACGAGTCTCTGGATCTCTATGGGGTTGTATGGGTCTCTATTGTTCTATATGAGTCTCTGGATCTATGTGGGGTTGTATGGGTCTCTATTGTTCTATACGAGTCTCTGGATCCCTGTGGGGTTGTATGGGTCTCTATTGTTCTATACGAGTCTCTGGATCTCTGTGGAGTTGTATGGGTCTCTATTGTTCTATACGAGTCTCTGGATCTCTGTGGAGTTGTATGGGTCACTATTGTTCTATACGAGTCTCTGGATCTCCGCGGGGTTGTATGGGTCTCTATTGTTCTATACGAGTCTATGGATCTCTTTGGGGTTGTATGGGTCTCTATTGTTCTATACGAGTCTCTGTATCTCTGTGGGGTTGTATAGGTCTCTATTGTTCTATACGAGTCTCTGGATCTCTGTAGGGTTGTATGGATCTCTATTGTTCTATACGAGTCTCTGTATCTCTGTGGGGTTGTATGGGTCTCTATTGTTCTATATGAGTCTCTGGATCTCTTTAGGGTTGTATGGGTCTCTATTGTTCTATACAAGTCTCTGGATCTCTGTAGGGTTGTATGGATCTCTATTGTTCTATACGAGTCTCTGTATCTCTGTGGGGTTGTATGGGTCTCTATTGTTCTATACGAGTCTCTGGATCTCTATGGGGTTGTATGGGTCTCTATTGTTCTATATGAGTCTCTCGATCTCTGTGGGGTTGTATGGGTCTCTATTGTTCTATACGAGTCTATGGATCTCTGTGGGGTTGTATGGGTCTCTATTGTTCTATACGAGTCTCTGGATTTCTCTATGGGGTTGTATGGGTCTCTATTGTTCTATACGAGTGTCTGGATCTCTGTGGGGTTGTATGGGTCTCTATTGTTCTATATGAGTCTCTGGATCTCCGTGGGGTTGTATGGGTCTCTATTGTTCTATACGAGTCTCTGTATCTCTGTGGGGTTGTATGGATCTCTATTGTTCTATACGAGTCTCTGTATCCCTGTGGGGTTGTATGGGTCTCTATTTTTCTATACGAGTCTCTGGATCCCTGTGGGGTTGTATGGGTCTCTATTGTTCTATACGAGTCTCTGGATCTCTGCGGGGTTGTATGGGTCTCTATTGTTCTATACGAGTCTCTGGATCGCTGTGGGTTTGTATGGGTCTCTATTGTTCTATACGAGTCTCTGAATCTCTGTGGGGGTGTATGGGTCTCTATTGTTCTATACGAGTCTCTGGATCTCTATGGGGTTGTATGGGTCTCTATTGTTCTATACGAGTCTCTGGATCTCTGTAGGGTTGTATGGGTCTCTATTGTTCTATACGAGTCTCTGGATTTCTCTGTGGGGTTGTATGGGTCTCTATTGTTCTATATGAGTCTCTGGATCTCTGCAGGGTTGTATGGGTCTCTATTGTTCTATACGAGTCTCTGGATCTCTGCGGGGTTGTATGGGTCTCTATTGTTCTATACGAGTCTCTGGATCTCTCTGTGTATGTCTATGTATATATCTCTGTGTATCTCTCTGTGCATGTCTATGTATATATCTCTGTGTATCTCTCCCACTCCTCCTGATGTCGAGGGTAAATGGGCGAGATTTAGGACTGTGACTCATGCAGCTGCAATGGTTGCTTTGGTTACGCGGTCCAGACCTCCCCAGAGACCCTGGCTGACAGAGGAGGTGTTCAGGATGGTTGAGAAAAAGCGACAGGCCCACTGTCATCGGCTACAGAATCCCACGTCAGAGAATGAGGAGGCTTACCGCAGCCTTCGCTCAGAGGTTCGGAGAGCCGTGAGGCGCTGTAAGGATGGGTGGTGGTCGTGGGTTGATGAGGAGATGGAGTCTGCCTCAGTGGCCCGCGATCACAAATCTCTATTTAACTCCATCAAAAAGCAATCTGCAGCGCCACACCTATTACCATCATTTGGGGAAAAAACGGTGATCCAATCTCTGACCCCCAGGAACAGGTTTGCAGATTTGCTGAGCATTTCTGTGAGGTCCTGGGGGAGGGAAAATCCCTCAGCCAGGAAAACATCGTGGCACAAAGTGAGGATGAACCTGCTGAGGCTGCGGTGCCTCAAATATTGGAAGAAGTCACCCCCTGTGAGTGGCTGGCTGAGGTGCCATCTGTTGAGGAAGTACTGAAGGCGATCCGGAGTCTGAGACCAGGAAAGGCACCGGGCAAAGATGATCTCCCAAGCGAAATGCTGAGGGAGGGTGGCGTTTGTCCACAGACTGCCCAATATGACATAACAACAGTCTGGACCACTGGACGGGTTCCGCAGGATTGGAAGGATGCCCTGGTGGTCCCCCTCTTTAAGAAGGGGGACCGCACATACTGTAACAACTACAGGGGCATCTCATTCCTTAGTGTGCCGGGAAAGGTCCTGGCAAGGATTATTCAGCATCGCCTTGCCAGGCACGCTGAGGAGAGACTTGCGGAGCCCCAATGCGGTTTCAGGAAAGGGCGGTCCTGCACAGATGCCATATTTTCTGTCCGTCTGCTACAGCAGAGGTGTAGGGAATTCCAACAAGACCTACATCTCTGCTTTATTGACCTGGTCAAGGCCTATGATACCATCAGTAGGCCTGGGCTCTGGGTTGTTCTTCGTGCTTTTGGAGTACCTGACCCTCTGCTCACGATCATTAAGGACCTTCATGATGGTGAGCGGGCCCGGGTGAAACTACGTGGCCGGGAGTCAGAGCCATTCCCTGGTACACCTTGAAGTGCGACAGGGATGTCCTCTGGCTCCCACATTATTTAACATCTATTTTGACCACGTAGTTCGCGAAGCCTTCAATAGCTGTACCGGGGGAATCTCCATATGGTACAGATATAATGGGAGGCTGATCGATGCCCGGGTGCGGTCAAGCGATGGCTCCCTATTGCTCAACCACGTTATGTATGCCGATGATTTGGTAATAGCTGCTCATTCAGAGGAGGAGTTGGAGACACTGCTGCTGAGACTGGAGCGTGCCACTAAGAAATGGGGCCTTACCATCAGCCCCACCAAAACTAAGCACCTGCCTGGGTATTTTGTACCATCGGACACTCCACCCCCACAACTCCTAATCGGTGATGGGGCAGTTGTGGAGAGAGTGGAGAGTTTCCCATACCTGGGCAGTGTGCTTATGACCGGCTCCAGTTAAACAGCAGATGTCTTACTCCGAATCAGTCGAGCGGCAATATCTTTTCATCGGTTGCGTAACGCTGTGTGGAAGCTACCTGGTCTGTCGCTCCGCACTAAGCATCAGGTCTTCTCGGCCACGGTCATTCCCTCCCTTCTCTACGCTTGCGAAATGTGGACACCCCTCATGGAACATCTTCGCCGGTTAGAAACATTTAGGCTAGCCTGCCTACGATCCATCATGGGTTTAACCATACTGGATTCTGTGAGGAGCTCACAAATCCTTGAAAGATCTGGGCAAGGTCCTATCGGTGAGCTCCTCCGGCAGGCAAGGCTGCGATGGCTGGGTCATGTAGCCCGCATGCCCAGCCACCGCATGCCGAAACAGCTTTTGTTCAGCCGGATTGAGGGGGCTAAGCGGACGCGGCACGGGCTAGAGAAGAGATGGAGTGACGTGGTGCAGGAGGACGTGGAGCTGAGTGGACTTGCCGATGACTGGTACCAGCGGTGTCAAGATCGGCCTCTGTGGAGGAGGCTCGTGAAGAATGCTACTGGGCAGTTGGAGGCAGTCGCCCTCCAACAACAACGGAGGGCGGAGGAGCGACGCTCACAACAACGAGCGGAGCGCCGGGTGGCTAAAGCACAGCAGGTTGGCACAGTAGGGGGCACAGGTGGTGCATCAGCCAGTCATCTCAGTCGACCCGTGGCACCTGGGTCTGCCCCGTGACCTCCTGCCAGCGGGCGTTCGACACTTCACGTGGCCTCAGGGTGCACATAGCCTGGCACAAGCGTCGTGGTGACGTCACCGCCACTTAGTGGCGAATGGCGGTTGTTGTTGTCTCTGTGTATCTGTGTCTCTGTGTGTCTCTCTCTGTGTGTCTCTGCGTGTGTGTCTCTGTGTGTGTCTCTGTGTGTGTGTCTCTGTGTGTCTCTGTGTGTGTGTCTCTGTGTGTGTGTCTCTGTGTGTCTCTGTGTGTGTGTCTCTGTGTGTGTGTCTCTGTGTGTGTGTCTCTGTGTGTGACTGTGTATGTGTCTCTGTGTGTATCTCTGTGTGTGTCTCTGTGTGTGTCTCTGTGTATGACTGTGTATGTGTCTCTGTGTGTGTGTCTGAGTGTCTCTGTGTCTCTGTGTGTGTCTCTGTCTATGTGTCTCTGTGTCTGTGTGTGTCTCTGTCTATGTGTCTCTGTGTCTCTGTGTCTCTGTGTCTCTGTCTATGTGTCTCTGTGTCTCTGTCTCTGTGTCTCTGTGTCTCTGTGTGTGTCTCTCACGCAGCTGAGCGAGGCGCTGGGTGTGGTGGCCGCTCTACGTCGCCGGCTGTTGGAGGCCGAGGCTGGGTTCTCTTCCATGGACAAACCCCTCCACTCCCTTACACCGTTCAACAACCACCACCACAACCACCACAACCACCACCACAACCACCACCACCACAGCCACCAGGGTGCCCACTACCAACACCTCCACGCCAGCATCAACCTCGGCCACAACCAAGTCAGCCACTCCGGCCACAACCAAGCCAGCCACAACCAAGCCAGCCACGACCAAGTCAGCCACCTCGGCCACAACCCAGGCCAGAACCAAGCCAGCCACAACCAAGCCAGCCACAACCAAGTCAGCCACGACCAAGTCAGCCACCTCGGCCACAACCAAGTCAGCCACAACCAAGTCAGCCACCTCGGCCACAACCCAGGCCACAACCAAGCCAGCCACAACCAAGTCAGCCACGACCAAGTCAGCCACCTCGGCCACAACCCAGGCCAGAACCAAGCCAGCCACAACCAAGTCAGCCACAACCAAGTCAGCCACCTCGGCCACAACCCAGGCCAGAACCAAGTCAGCCACAACCAATTCTGCCACAACCAAGCCAGCCACAACCAAGTCAGCCACCTCGGCCACAACCCAGGCCAGAACCAAGCCAGCCACAACCAAGCCAGCCACAACCAAGTCAGCCACCTCGGCCACAACCCAGGCCAGAACCAAGCCAGCCACAACCGCACCATCCCCACCACCACCACCACCACCACCTCCTCCTCATCCACCTCCTCACCCACCACCACCTCGGCCGGCCTCCAGCGAGGAGGCGAGCGACTTTCGCCGGGCGAGGCGACGCACAGCCATCTTGACGATGACGTTGACAACGTTGATGATGACGTTGATGATGACGTTGACGTTGACGATGACGTTGACGATGACGTTGAGGACGTGGCCGCTCTGCGGATGAGGCTGAGGGCGCTCAGGAGGCTGCTGAGGAGGGAGAGGGAGCGCTGGAGGGAGGAGGCGACGCGGTGGGAGGACGAGAAGCAGAGGGTCATCAGCTTCCAGAGGCAGCTGCAGGCCAGCCTCCTGGCAGCGGTGGGGAGAATCAGAGACTCTGAGACACGGCGAGAGAGACTCAGAGACTCGGAGACACAGACAGAGACACAGTGAGAGACTCAGAGACACGGAGAGAGAGACTCAAAGACTCGGAGACAGAGACACAGTGAGAGACTCTGAGACACGGAGAGAGAGACTCAGAGACTCGGAGACACAGACAGAGACACAGTGAGAGACTCTGAGACACGGAGAGAGACTCAGAGACTCGGAGACACAGACAGAGACACAGTGACACGGACAGAGACACAGTGAGAGACTCAGAGACTCAGAGACATAGTGAGAGACTCAGAGACACAGAGACACAGAGAGAGACACAGAGACTCAGAGACACAGACAGAGACACAGTGAGAGACTCAGAGACACAGTGAGAGACTCAGAGACACAGAGACACAGAGACACAGAGAGAGACACAGAGACACAGAGACACAGAGAGAGACTCAGAGACTCGGAGACACAGTGAGAGACTCAGAGACACAGAGACACAGAGACACAGAGACTCAGAGAGAGACTCAGAGACACAGTGAGAGACTCAGAGACACAGAGACACAGAGACACAGAGACACAGAGACACAGTGAGAGACTCAGAGACACAGAGACACAGAGACACAGAGACTCAGAGAGAGACTCAGAGACACAGTGAGAGACTCAGAGACACAGAGACACAGTGAGAGACACAGTGAGAGACTCAGAGACACAGACAGAAGAGACACAGAGAGAGACTGAGAGGGTCATCAGCTTCCAGAGGCAGCTGCAGGCCAGCCTCCTGGCAGCGGTGGGGAGAATCAGAGACTCTGAGACACGGAGAGAGAGACTCAGAGACTCGGAGACACAGACAGAGACACAGTGAGAGACTCTGAGACACGGAGAGAGAGACTCAGAGACTCGGAGACACAGACAGAGACTCAGTGAGAGACTCTGAGACACGGAGAGAGAGACACAGAGACTCGGAGACACAGACAGAGACACAGTGAGAGACTCTGAGACACGGAGAGAGAGACTCAGAGACTCGGAGACACAGACAGAGACACAGTGAGAGACTCTGAGACACGGAGAGAGAGACTCAGAGACTCGGAGACACAGACAGAGACACAGTGACACAGACAGAGACACAGTGAGAGACTCTGAGACACGGAGAGAGAGACTCAGAGACTCAGAGACACAGACAGAGAGACACTGAGAGACACAGTGAGAGACTCTGAGACACGGAGAGAGAGACTCAGAGACTCGGAGACACAGACAGAGACACAGTGAGAGACTCTGAGACACGGAGAGAGAGACTCAGAGACTCGGAGACACAGACAGAGACACAGTGAGAGACTCAGAGACACAGTGAGAGACTCAGAGACATAGTGAGAGAGACTCAGAGACTCGGAGACACAGACAGAGACACAGTGAGAGACACAGAGACACAGTGAGAGACTCAGAGACTCAGAGACATAGTGAGAGACTCAGAGACTCAGAGACATAGTGAGAGACTCAGAGACACAGAGACACAGAGACACAGAGAGAGACACAGAGACACAGTGAGAGACTCAGAGACTCAGAGACATAGTGAGAGACTCAGAGACACAGAGACACAGAGACACAGAGAGAGACACAGAGACACAGTGAGAGACTCAGAGACACAGAGACACAGAGAGAGACACAGAGACACAGTGAGAGACTCAGAGACACAGAGACACAGTGAGAGACTCAGAGACACAGACAGAGAGACTCAGAGACACAGAGAGAGACTGAGAGGGTCATCAGCTTCCAGAGGCAGCTGCAGGCCAGCCTCCTGGCAGCGGTGGGGAGAATCAGAGACTCTGAGACACGGAGAGAGAGACTCAGAGACTCGGAGACACAGACAGAGACACAGTGAGAGACTCAGAGACACGGAGAGAGAGACTCAGAGACTCGGAGACAGAGACACAGTGAGAGACTCTGAGACACGGAGAGAGAGACTCAGAGACTCGGAGACACAGACAGAGACACAGTGAGAGACTCTGAGACACGGAGAGAGACTCAGAGACTCGGAGACACAGACAGAGACACAGTGACACGGACAGAGACACAGTGAGAGACTCAGAGACTCAGAGACATAGTGAGAGACTCAGAGACACAGAGACACAGAGAGAGACACAGAGACTCAGAGACACAGACAGAGACACAGTGAGAGACTCAGAGACACAGTGAGAGACTCAGAGACACAGAGACACAGAGACACAGAGAGAGACACAGAGACACAGAGACACAGAGAGAGACTCAGAGACTCGGAGACACAGTGAGAGACTCAGAGACACAGAGACACAGAGACACAGAGACTCAGAGAGAGACTCAGAGACACAGTGAGAGACTCAGAGACACAGAGACACAGAGACACAGAGACACAGTGAGAGACTCAGAGACACAGAGACACAGAGACACAGAGACTCAGAGAGAGACTCAGAGACACAGTGAGAGACTCAGAGACACAGAGACACAGTGAGAGACACAGTGAGAGACTCAGAGACACAGACAGAGAGACTCAGAGACACAGAGAGAGACTGAGAGGGTCATCAGCTTCCAGAGGCAGCTGCAGGCCAGCCTCCTGGCAGCGGTGGGGAGAATCAGAGACTCTGAGACACGGAGAGAGAGACTCAGAGACTCGGAGACACAGACAGAGACACAGTGAGAGACTCTGAGACACGGAGAGAGAGACTCAGAGACTCGGAGACACAGACAGAGACTCAGTGAGAGACTCTGAGACACGGAGAGAGAGACACAGAGACTCGGAGACACAGACAGAGACACAGTGAGAGACTCTGAGACACGGAGAGAGAGACTCAGAGACTCGGAGACACAGACAGAGACACAGTGAGAGACTCTGAGACACGGAGAGAGAGACTCAGAGACTCGGAGACACAGACAGAGACACAGTGACACAGACAGAGACACAGTGAGAGACTCTGAGACACGGAGAGAGAGACTCAGAGACTCAGAGACACAGACAGAGAGACACTGAGAGACACAGTGAGAGACTCTGAGACACGGAGAGAGAGACTCAGAGACTCGGAGACACAGACAGAGACACAGTGAGAGACTCTGAGACACGGAGAGAGAGACTCAGAGACTCGGAGACACAGACAGAGACACAGTGAGAGACTCAGAGACACAGTGAGAGACTCAGAGACATAGTGAGAGAGACTCAGAGACTCGGAGACACAGACAGAGACACAGTGAGAGACACAGAGACACAGTGAGAGACTCAGAGACTCAGAGACATAGTGAGAGACTCAGAGACTCAGAGACATAGTGAGAGACTCAGAGACACAGAGACACAGAGACACAGAGAGAGACACAGAGACACAGTGAGAGACTCAGAGACTCAGAGACATAGTGAGAGACTCAGAGACACAGAGACACAGAGACACAGAGAGAGACACAGAGACACAGTGAGAGACTCAGAGACACAGAGACACAGAGAGAGACACAGAGACACAGTGAGAGACTCAGAGACACAGAGACACAGTGAGAGACTCAGAGACACAGAGACACAGAGAGAGACACAGAGACACAGTGAGAGACTCAGAGACACAGAGACACAGTGAGAGACTCAGAGACTCAGAGACATAGTGAGAGACTCAGAGACACAGAGACACAGAGAGAGACACAGAGACACAGTGAGAGACTCAGAGACACAGAGACACAGAGAGAGACACAGAGACACATTGAGAGACTCAGAGACACAGAGACACAGAGACACAGTGAGAGACTCAGAGACACAGAGACACAGAGAGAGACACAGAGACACAGTGAGAGACTCAGAGACACAGAGACACAGAGACACAGTGAGAGACTCAGAGACACAGAGACACAGAGAGAGACACAGAGACACAGTGAGAGACTCAGAGACACAGAGACACAGTGAGAGACTCAGAGACACAGTGAGAGACACAGTGAGAGACTCTGAGACACGGAGAGAGAGACTCAGAGACTCGGAGACACAGACAGAGACACAGTGAGAGACACAGAGACACAGTGAGAGACTCAGAGACTCAGAGACATAGTGAGAGACTCAGAGACACAGAGACACAGAGACTCAGAGAGAGACTCAGAGACACAGTGAGAGACTCAGAGACACAGAGACACAGAGAGAGACTCTGAGACACAGTGAGAGACACAGAGACACAGAGACACAGAGACACAGTGAGAGACTCAGAGACACAGTGAGAGACTCAGAGACACAGAGACACAGAGACTCAGAGACTCAGAGACACAGAGAGAGACTGAGAGGGTCATCAGCTTCCAGAGGCAGCTGCAGGCCAGCCTTGTGGCAGCGGTGGGGAGAATCAGAGACTCTGAGACACGGAGAGAGAGACTCAGTGAGAGACTCTGAGACACGGAGAGAGAGACTCAGAGACTCGGAGACACAGACAGAGACACAGTGAGAGACACAGTGAGAGACTCTGAGACACGGAGAGAGAGACTCAGAGACTCGGAGACACAGACAGAGACACAGTGAGAGACTCAGAGACTCTGAGACACGGAGAGAGAGACTCAGAGACTCGGAGACACAGACAGAGACACAGTGAGAGACTCTGAGACACGGAGAGAGAGACTCAGAGACTCGGAGACACAGTGAGATACACAGTGAGAGACTCTGAGACACGGAGAGAGAGACTCAGAGACTCGGAGACACAGACAGAGACACAGTGAGAGACACAGTGAGAGACACAGTGAGAGACTCTGAGACACGGAGAGAGAGACTCAGAGACTCGGAGACACAGTGAGAGACACAGTGAGAGACTCTGAGACACGGAGAGAGAGACTCAGAGACTCGGAGACACAGACAGAGACACAGTGAGAGACACAGTGAGAGACACAGTGAGAGACTCTGAGACACGGAGA